AAGCATCTTCCCTCTGCCAGGCCTGTGCAAGGGCCTGAGGAACCACAGGTGAATAAAGTACAATCCTTGCTCTCAAGGGAAGCCCTGGCAAATATGGGGCACGTACATGCCCACCCTCCTCCCCAAGTCCACGGCAGACATCACTAATCGCATGGCAGACATCACTGGCCACACGGCAGACACCACTGATCGCTCACAGCACTCTTTTCTGCCCAGTCCAGCCAGACTCACTGTAGAATCCTCCACAGCACAGGGCAGTGGGGACCTCCAGCTGCAAATCAGAGCTGTTTGTCACCCTGACTCTAGGGACCCCCAGTCCCCATGGGAGGGGTGGTGCTGGAGGAAAGAAAGAGGGGAGCTCCCATCACCTCGAGTGTGAGAGACAGAGGTGCTGTCCTTGTGGGTGTGGAGGGCAACAGTCACACCTGTGCGGAGGGCATCGACTCCATGAAGTGACAGGATTTGAGACGGGCCTTAAGGGCCTTGACTCCCAGGCTGGTGCAGGGGTGAGGGCACCGCAGCAGAGGGGCTGTTCCATGAGAGGCACAGGCAGGAAGTGTGGATGTGCCTGGAGGAACAGTGGGCAGATGGGTGTGCGTGTGCTCTCTGCGAGGTGGCGGGACCAAGAGGAGCCTTTCGTGGGGACCCGTGCTGGGCTGGCACATGTGACCGCGTTCTGAAACAGTGGGGGGAGTCTGACCGCCACAAAATCAGAGCAGCTTCCGGAAGAGGCGGCAGGACAGTGCGGAGTGGGTCAGAGCAGGGAGGGCTTGGGGCGGGCAGGGAGACTGGTTAGGAAGCTATCGCCAGTTAAACGGCGACAAGCGTCTCACCCCCGTGAGCGACACAGGAGTGCAAAGGAGGAGACGATTCAGGAGGCTGTGGATCTAGAAATCCAGAAGGATTTGGGCACCAGCTGGATGTAGGAATACAATTAAAGTCAAAGACGACAGCCCTGTTTTGAGCCTGAATGATTTGGAAGGATAGAAACCACCACGTGCAACCCAGGAGGAGAGCCAGTTTGGAAGCAGCTGGAGGAGCCGTGCGACAACCAGGGGAGTCTTTCTGATGGGGGCTGGCAGGGTGGATCCGCAGCTCTGGAAAGAGCCCAGAGCCAGAGGAAGCATAGTTAGGAGATGTCTACATCAAGAGGAGAGTCATCACTTGGGAGTGATGGACCTGAATTCGAGAGAGCTTGCAGAGTGACCAGGGGCCTCCTGCACACAACATGCAGACAGGAGAGACAGACGCTGTGGTGCCTTAGTAATGGGGGCTGACTCATGAGTAAGCAGACCAGCAGGGCTGGGCGGAAATCCAGAAATAGACTAGGCTCCAGCGAAAAAGGAACTTTAAGGTATGATAAGGGTGGCATCACAATTAGGTTAAGAGACTTCTCTTCTGTTAAGAGAATTAAGGCTCGTCTGCATTTTGGAACTTGATGGAGGAGGGAATTGAACAAAATTGTGAATACACTAAATGCAGCTGAATTGGTATACTTTACAATGGTTAATTTTGTTACATGAATTTCACTTCAAATTAAAAACAAAAAAGGGAGAACCATCGAGAAAGAGATCCCTATCTCACACCATATACCAAGATAAACTCCAAACGGATCAAGATTAACAGGTAAAAATGAAACCTTATCTGCAGATGGATGGTGGTGATGGCTGCACGGCAATGTGAATGTGCTCAATGCCGCTGAGCTGTACCTTAAAAATGGTTGCGAAGGTAAATTTTATGTTATATGTATGTTACCTCAGAAAAAGAAATGAAACCATAAAAGACCTCACAGAAAACATGGCTGACTTTCTTTACAACCCTGGAGTGGAGAAGGCCTTTGTAACTAAGAATCAAAATTCAGAGGACATAAAAAGAAAGATTGATATTTGACAATTTTAAAATAAAAATCTGCATAGCTAAAGACAATATAAAGTCAAGAAGCAAATGACCAACTAATGTACAAAGAGTTCTTAAATATCAAGAAGAAACATAAAACCCTGATAGAAAAAATAAGCAAAGATATGAATTCTTAGTTTACAAAAAAAGAAATGCAAATGGCTCTTAAAATAGGAGAAGATGCTCAACCTACGCTTTCTCTTCTGTTATCTGGGCAAAAATCCAAACATCAACCAGCACATGCTACTGATAAGGCTGAGAGAAACAGGTCCTCTCCCAGGCCTGGCAGATAGAAGCTGTATATCCCACATGAAGGAGAGTGAGCACCATCTGCCGGAATGGTATATGCACACACCTTTCAAGCAAGTGACCCTGCATCTAGGCATGTATCCTGAAGATACACCTTCACAAAGATGAAATAAAGTATCCCCTGCTTATTCATTGTAGCCAAATGTTTAAGAAACAAGAGATTGGATAGAAAACAAACGTTTTTCAGTAAGAGACCGCTTGAATAACTATAGTTCACCCACACAAAGGAGCGCTATGCGGTAGGCAACAGAACGGAGAGGCGCTGTGTCCTGTTTGTGATACAAAGTGACCCTTCTCCAGAATATGTTAAAAGTGTAGAAAACCTGATGGAGAGCAGGATGGATATGTGTCATGCGACCTTTTACGTAAGAAACGAGGCAAAATAAGAATAGATAGATGATAGAGAGATAGATGATAAATGGGTGGATAGCTAGAGAGGGAGGTAATTTTCTCATTTTTGGGAACTAAAATGCTTCAAAGAAAAAGCCAGAAAATAATTAAAACGGTTAACTATAGGGAACAAGAGGAGAGGGGTGGGGAGCTCGGAGGAGGAGCAAGACTTCTCTGGATGAATCTTCTACAGATTTCGGACTGTCGTACCAGGTGAGTGTTTCCATTTTCAGAAAAGAAAATTAAAAAGCAAAAAAGCTAAACCTATAATTGAAAACGAATTTCATTTTAAATTAATGAAACTGATTGTATATTAAATTAGTAAGATAGGGATATGGAGAAAATAATTTTTCCATGTTTGTAGTAATTTGACCTATGAACACAGTACTCTGGCCATATCCTTCGTGAACTGTATTCTGGGACTGGGGGAGAGGGCCTGGCACGTGATTGGTTAATGGGTACGTGAGTCTGCTCGGGCCGCCACACAAAGAGCCACAGGCTGGGGGCTTAAACAGCAGAAGTTGATTGTCTCCCAGTTCTGGAGGCCAGAAGTCCAAGATCAAGGCGTCGGCAGGGTTGGTGTCTTCGTGGCCTCTCTCCTCGGCTCACAGGTGGCCGTCTTCCCTCCGTGTCCTCACACGGGCTTCCCTCTGTGAGTGTCTGTCTTATTCTTATAAGGATGCCAGTCAGATTGGCTGGGGCCTACCCACATGACCTCATTTTTACTAAGTTATCTCTTTAAAGACCCTGTCTCCACATACAGTCACGTTCTGAGGTATGGGGCTTAGGATGTCGACCCCATGATGTTGCAGGAAGGTGGGCCTCAGTTCAGCCCCAAACAATGAGGACGGAGTTTCAGTTTAGAAAGATGAAAAAGTTCTGGACACAGATGGTGGTGATGGGTGTATAACAGTGTGAATGTACCTAATAATTCTGAACTGCACACTAAAAAATGGTTAAGATGGTCAATTTTGTGTTACCTATATTTTACCACAGTAAAAAATAAAAATAAATTTAAGAAGGGAAAAACTCCTCAGAGGAGAACGGAAACGAGGGTGCCACCGAGGGGTGCCAGGCTTGTGGGCTGCAGGCGGCTGCGTGTAATAGCCAGAGAGGCGGGTGGGAGCGGGAACAGGGAGGGTGGGGATGCATGGCGGACAGGACAGGAGGAAACAGGAGCTTGTGGTGTGACCACGACGAGGGTGTCGAAGTTTGAAGTCTGGGCAGCCGGTCCATTCCAGGCGCTGACGGGTCCTCGCCCCTCCCATCTGTGAAGTGAGTCACCGTGGTTATCAGCATCCCGGCTTCCCACAGCGGTGGCGGCAGGGTCTGGGCGGACACTCTGGGTGGGCCCTGCTCTCTGGGAGCTCTTTCCTTTTGCGATTGTCAAACTACCCGCTGCTCTCGGCCTCAATAAGGAAGCCAGCATGTTGTTTCTATAGCGACCGACGTCCTTCAGAGAGAGAGGACATGCAGAGACCCCAAGAAAAGAACAAGGGAAGTGAACAGCACGGATATCAGAGAGACAATAAAATCCAGAAAGGGCAGCCTGTGACCTAGCTTTATTGCTGCTCCATTGAGATTTCTGGCAAGCACACTTGACTATTTTATTTGATGTTTGTCATATTATTGTCACTGAAGGCTGTAAAGTGAGGCGGCAGGATGCATCACTTTACCTGGTGAAAGGCTAACACTGAAACATAACCATGAGGGTCAGGGAACTGGGAAAACCCAGGAGGAGTCCACTCTTGTCTTACTCCTGCCCACTGGGCAGAAAACCAGGCTGGCGGACACTTTCCATGTACCTGTCCTTTCTTTCTTCCTTGAAATGGCCACAAGGAAGGCATCCTGACTGTGTGGACAGGCTTTGCCATATTTACATCCCGGTTCACCACTTTCTGGCTGTGTGATCTTGGGCAAGTTCCTTAACCACTCTGTGCTTCAATTTCCTAATCTGTGAAATGGGGGGAGAAGAACTCCCACGTTCAAGAGTTCAAGGTTGGAAAGGGTTTAATGAGATGATACATTCAGGTCCTCAATAAAGAGTAGCTGGTGGGGGCCAGCCCCGTGGCTGAGTGGTTAAGTTCACGTGCTCAGCTTCAGCGGCCCAGGGTTTTGCCGTTTCCGATGCTGGGCAAGGACATGGCACTGCTTATCAGGCCACGCTGAGACAGCATCCCACAAAGCACAACCAGAGGCACTCACAACCAGAATATACAACTATGTGCTGGGGGGCTTTGGGCAGAAGAAGGAGGAAAGAAGATTGGCAACAGATGTTAGCTCAGGTGCCAATCTTTAAAAAAAAACAGAAAGAGTAGCTGGTGATTGCGGTGAAGAAACCGCTGAGCTTGAGCAGGAGTCACCCTCCTGGTAACGGCAGCACTCGGTCTCCCGTTCCCTTCCAGTTGGCCACGGACAGAGCGAAGGGGAGAGGATGGTCGTGTCTGACTTCCACGTTTTCGTCAGGGATGTGCTCCAGCACGTGGATATCATGCAGAAAGACTATCCCGGGATCCCTGTCTTCCTTCTGGGCCACTCCATGGTAAGTCAACCTCAGAAGACGGGGTCCGGATCAGCCCGGTCCCCCACCTCTCGGGGGGTGGGAGGGGTGAGAAGCTGCGATGGAGCAGGGGCCGCCCTGCCCCCCGGCCACCCGCTTTCTGCCGGCTGACACGTTGCCCTCTGCACGCCCTGCACTTGGGGATCCCAGGCAGTTTCGTGCTTAGCAAACAAGCCAGGTTCAGAGTCCCGGAGGCAGCCCCCGAGGGAGCGCACGCCAGGGCCCGAGGCACCCGCCAGCCCTCACTGAGGAGCTCAGGGATGGGGCCTTTTGGGAATGGGATCTTTTCTTCAGAGCCCGCTGGCCCTTCAGTGCTGTCTCATAGTGAGGCTCCCAAGGGCGCTTCTGCTCCCTGCAGAGCCACTGCCCGGAGCCTGGGGCTCCTCGGTCGGGGAGAAGCGCGTGGAACCAGCTCCTTCAAGGGCATTCAAAACCCTTCTCACCTTTTACATTTATAAAATCCTTTAAGAATCAACCAGATATCATCTTTAAATCGGAGTCTTCAAACTGGCAGTGCCCAGGCCCACTCTCCCTACAGGCAGACTGCTGGGGTGGCTGCTGAGGACTTCAAATGGCTTGGATTTGAGCACCCAGGGCCTTTCCACGCGGTGCCGGGCCTTCGGCCCCCTTTACCACAGCCCGCCTCTGTTCCTACACTTCCCTTACCTGCCTGGCCCTCAAGCATTTGTGATTTCAACGCAGGGTTCAAATTACCCTCAGCTCCAGCAGCTGACACCTCCTGCCTTCAGCACCATCCACCTTATTTTTCTTGGAACCTAAATTTCTGGGACCTTTACTAAGCCAGGGGAAAAAGTGTAGCAATCTCTTATTATTATCAGGTTATGAGAAGAAAAACAAAGTCCCTTATTAAGCCTGACGGAATGGGTGAGTTGGAGGTCTGCCAGCTACTGTTTCACTTGCAGCCCACAAGCAGGAAACTTATTTATATCTTTCTGAAATGTTTGCTCTTGGAAAAACCCAGAGAAAAACCAGGTGTCATAAGATAATTGTAGGTTCAGTTTATCTAGCATTCCATGGTGTCTGTGGCGAGGTGGACCTCCTCAGGGCTCCTGGCCAGGCCTGCAGCCTGGGAGAGTTCACTGCTGCTGCTCATGAGGAATACATGCCCTGGTGGGAGCCGCATGCAGCAACTCTGCCTGTTTTGCATTGCAGGGAGGTGCCATCGTCATCCTCACAGCCGCAGAGAGGCCAGGCCACTTCTCTGGCATGGTTCTCATTTCACCTTTGGTTCTTGCCAATCCTGAGTCGGCCACCACTTTCAAGGTAAATGGACTTCCAGTTCTGTGAAACTCCTATAGCTTCCCCAGGCCTCGGAGCATCCATTTATAGCTAGAGTCTGGACAAAGGGGTCAACATCCGTTCATGCGGTGTTGTGTTAAGGTTGGACAAATATCAAACATTGTTGCCACGGGGGTTCCATAATTTCTAAAGCCAGGTGCGTTTTTCCCAAGACAAAACAAAAATGACTTCCTGTTTGTGCATGTTTTGTTGGTGAATGTTAAAAGGAGAAAAGGTTGCACTAATTAGGAATCCAGCAAAGTAACCTTTGTTAACAAGTCTCCTGCAAGGCTTGAGCTGATTGTCGTTGACTGTTTGCCAACTTCAGCAGAAGAGCATAGTGAATGGACTTGCAGGCAATTTGTAACTGCAACATAGAGTGGCATTCACAGTAGCTCTCCTCCATTCCGGATTCTGACTGATGCGTTGTTTTGTTTTCCATTATAATGTTAAACAATGGCACACTGAATGGCACATGCTGCGGGTGGGGCGAGATGGGGGGGTACTTTGAGCGACAGCGACAAGGCAAATGAGCCAACAAATCCTACCCAGAAGTAGAATAGGTGCCTTCTCTCCCTGAGAAAGGAGAGGAGACCAGCGGGCTGCTTAGTTGTGGACGTGGGCTGTTGATGTGTTATGGACCTGTCCTCGAGGGGCGTGAGGTTTGAGAGACACATTAACCCAGTGGAAGCGGAAAATCCCAGCCTTGTGTTTCGCCGAGGGAGGTTGGGTCCCTCCCCAGTGCTGGGTGGGAGCTGCTGCCTCCTGAGCTAGTTCCCAGGCCTCTCAGAGGAGCGTGAGGGGCGAGGTGGTGGGTCACGGGGCCACGGGGAAGAGGGCAGCCACCAGCCCGCCAGCTTACTCGGCTTTCCCTGGCCTCACCATCAAATGACAGTGGGCACGTTTAAGTAATTGACTTAGCGCTGATGCCTGGGGTGTTCTCCTGAGGACCCAAACAATGGAACGCAGTACGGGGGACAAAACCTTGTAAAAGTGTCCTCAAAATGTTTCTTCTAGCTCACAGCAGCAGACTTAATCCTGGCCCTAAGAGATGGGCAGCAGGTCCTGTGTCTGGGCTTCCAGTTAGATACAGAAAACATCACCAATTTTAAGTGAGGACAGGCTGAGCAAAAGGGAAACCTGGAACTCTCCGATGGGTTAATCAGAGAATAGCGATTGATTTAATCTGCTGAAGAAGAGAGATGGCTGGCTCCTTTGAATTTTACTCCGTTTTGAGGACATGACCACTGACTCATTGAAGTCGACGGTCCTCAGTAAATTTCAGTGCTGTATGGACAACAGGGAGGTGGGCGCCGCCCTGCCTCCACATCGGAAAGATAATCGCAGATGTTCACAGGGCCAGGTAATGCGCAGGCCGGCTACTCCTTGGTCAATGTGCAAGAGGAGGCACGACCTCCTGGGCAGCTCCCACTGTCACTGTGACTATATCACGTGAGGTCAAGTCAGTCAAGGTTCTTGTCCAAGTAGAATCCTCAAGACCAGGATCACAGAGAGGAGGCAACTTGCCACTGCGCTCCGCCTGCTTGGGCTCATGATTTCTTCCGGTCGGTGAGTGCCAAGCACGCATTGTGCGTTCACGTGCATTATCCTGCCTGGCTCATGTCACCACCCTAGGCAGAGGTCACAACCTGCATTCTACAGATAGGAACACTGAGGCTCCCGCAGGCTAGTGACTCCCAAGGGTCACACAGCTCGTGTGATGGATGTGAACGTGGGCTGTTTCCCATGGAAGAAAGTGGATGCTTTCCCTTAGAGAAAAGCCAGCGACCATGCGGCTTTTCAAATAAAGTGCACGGTGGGGAGGGTTCAGGGCAGCTGGTCCCAGAGGTGGAGCCAGGAAGGTTCCCTCCCAGAGTCTCTGGTAGAGGTGGAACTTCTGGACAAGGTCATCAACATGACCTTTCAGAGCTTTGCGCTAATAGATCACCTTGTCAAATCAGGAGCCAGCTGTCCCTGGGGGTGCGGGTCTCCTCCTGTTAACCAAGACAAATTAGATTTCCCGTTGCCCCCAGACCTGAGGACACGTCCTCCCCACCATGAAATCTGTTGCTGGCCCTGGGTCTTGGGCAATTTGGACTGAGTCTATGATTCATTGTCTACCCGCCCCCTGATGACTTGATTAGCCTCTGTGCATCTCATCTCGTCTGAAAATCTTCCTGAAGAGTCGCACAGAACCTTTGTTTACCATTGAATGTAAACGTTTGTAGAATAATACATTTATCCGGTGCAGAATCCGAAAGATAAAAAGAGGGCATGCGGTGGCAAGTCCCCCTCCCGGCTGGAGGTGGGCGGCCAGTCAGCAGAGAGGTTCTGCCCACACACTCCCTTTGTGCCTGCATTTGACACAACGGGGACGTGTTCTCTGCATGTTCTGTTTGTTTTGTTCTGGGTAGCTTGTTTGTGTTTGTGGGATTTCATTTGATCATTTGCTGAGCAACACCTCCTGGCATCCTTCCCCATCAGAACTACCAAGGGTCCCACCGTAGGGATGGGTTCTGGATTAGATGAGGTCCTGCCGGCCAACTTTTGGGTCGTTTCCAGTGAGTTGCTCTTACGGACCCCAAGGATGGACAGATTCCTAGCGTCCACTGCTAGCTGAGAAAGCTGAGGCTGAGCTGGGGGGCCTCCCCCGGGTCGAGTCGCACTGTCAGGGGCCGCAGAGCGTAGAGAGCCGAGTTCTGGCCTCATGACTCCTCGCCCAGAGCTCAGCTCATCGACCATCAACTTTGTTTCATGGCACCAACTTCCTGCTAGAGAGATTCCTGAAATCATCAGAGCAAGCAGCTACCGAAGCCTTCAGGTACAGGCGAGTGGAAGATGACAGCCCCTCCCTGAAATGTGAGAAGGCCAGATCCCCCCAACACCTCGCCTACATCTGGTTCTTACCTTGATGCTCCATTTTCAACAAGCCTGGAGAAGAGACAAGTTGGAGAGGGGCTTCTGGCCCCCAAACACTGTCTGTGCTGAGAATGTGGCTGCACAAGGGAAGTGACAACAGGAGAAATTTAGAAACAAAAATCCAGTGCGTCAGAACAAGTTTCAGCTGCCTGTGAGGTCATTTCATGGAGATTTTCTCAAAGTCCCATGCCCTGGGGAAGGCGGGGCTGGAGTAATTCCTGGGTACAGAGGGGACCCCTCAGCTGCCCAGGTAGTAGGTCTGCGCTAAAGCCGGGTCTCCTCCCCTGGACTTGCCAGCATGCGGAACATGCTGCCGGATGGGGGCAAAACCGGAAATCCCCGTGGGCAGAGCCTGTGGTCAAGGTGGGTACTCAGCCTGCTGGGAGGGTAATCTCCTAAATGGCCTTCTCTGCCTGTTGCCTGGAGATTGTCCCCTGGGGTCCGGGGTCAGAGATGCAGAAGCCAGCCCAGTGCTTCCAGGTGCTTCCACTCCCCGTCAACCAGGGAGGGCACTTGTCAAGTCGGGAGAAGCAAGTGGCCACTGTGAACCTAGCACTGCGGGCGTGACACACGTTGTCTCATTTCCTCTCGGTCAACACCCTGTAAGGAGGGAAAATCATTCCCAATTTACAAACAAGGAAATGAGGCCAATTATCTCACTCAAGGTCAGCCTGAGCCACAGCTCGGGCCGAAGAGCGTGGCAGGATATCCCTTCACCCTGAAATGTGCCCAAGGTCCCCTTCCTTTGACTTGAGCCTATTTCTCCTCTGAATATTACTTCTCTGTTTTTAGTCACTAGAATCAGAAGGCCCTTGGGGTGGTAGGGGTGGGATGGGGGTGGAGGGGAGATGGGTGGGGGCGTGGAGAGTTGCCACTCTTAAACTTCACATGAAGGTAGACCCAGGAGCGCAGGCCTGAGCTGTGATGGTGAACTGGCCTGTTTGGCAGCAGCCGTGCACCCTAGGAGTAGGTGCCCCTGTCCTGCAGGCACCTGCTCTCTAATAGCTGGGTCAGACTTCTAGACGCTCAGGATTCGAAGAACGAGTCGTCTCCCCAACACGTCTTTGGGGATCCTGTGCTATGTGTCAGGCACTAGGCATGCAACAGCAAGCACTACTGCACACATTTGGGGTTCTCTTGCCCAGTGTGCATAAACAGCCAATTAATTATGGCATCTGCTTTTCGGGGAGAAATCAGCTTTATTCTGCAAGATCCATCTGCAGGGCGTGTGCCCTCAGATCTGTCTCCCTGATTCAGGATTTCTGGCAAAATTTAAGACATTAGGGAGAACAGGTTGGCGCGCAGAAACGCTGGTGGGCCAGGCTTTGCTTGGGGGCTTCAAGCATTTGTGGTGAGGTGTGAAGCATCATGAGGGCTCTGAACAGTCACAATGAGGTGGGGAAGGAAGTCTGACACTGGATCTCCCTGACTGTGGGACCCCTAACTCCTGATAAGAGCCCGACTTTCAGCCCCGGTACTGTCCCGGGTCTTGCCTTCCATGGGGAAGACGATCTTGGTTCCACAGTCATTTCAGGCAAAGATTTCTTGTGTGCGTGCTCTGGCCACATAACTCTGCGCATTTTCTGAGAGGTGATTCTTCATCACTGTTGATCAGAAGGGGTCAGTCGAACAGGCTCTGGAGGCCATGGGTGCACCGGTGTCCTGTCCTTCCCGGCCTGCTGACCAGAGAAGGCACGGGGCGCTTTCGCTTCTGTGTCTGTCCGAGGGTGCCCTTCCCTCCCAAGAGAAAGCTGAGGCCGTCCTGTGACCCTTGTGCTGAGGCCCCTACAGAGGGTGTGGTGTTCTAGCCTCCCTCTGACAGGCCACCTTGCTGGAGCCACTTTAGAAGATAGCAAGTGTAATTACCTCCTTCGTGTCAAGTCTTTCACTGGCAGAAGCTTGAAAATGATCTTAGGGAGCCATTAAAACCTTTTGGATCAATAAAGGCATTTGTGCAAGCCACTAGTATTTAAAGCGATGGGCCCTGCAGTATCCAGGAATGCCCCAAGGGCATGTCAAGGACGTGGGACACATTCTGGTCTCTTGCTCTTCCTGAGGTGGAGAGTTGTCCTCTTTTGTGAGTGAAATAATTGGGAGTTCTGGCTGTGACCATGACATTTGTTGCAAAGCTGTAGGTCACACCCTTTCTGAAGCCCCCACTCTGAATGACGTCAGCATGTGCTCGCTCATTCAGTCAACCAATCCGTATTTGCTGAGCGTCGCCTCAACAAACAGGCAGGTAGGGAGGAGCTCTGTAGGAATCGGGTCTCCTCTGACCTTCACAGCTGCCCTTCAAGTGTCATTTTATCGTCCCCACTTTAGAGATGAAGGAACTGAGGATCATAGCCTTTCTCGGGGATTCAGAACCAGAGTTGGATCCACACTTGCCTGGTTCTGAGTCTCTGGGTCCGATTCCTCCGCTTCGCTGTCTGCCTCTTCCCAAGTTGGGGTCCAGCAACCACAAGTCCATTCGTCATGAGTCTCAGCCCCCTAGGTTATCCTCAGATGACGAGACCCAGGGTCCCGTTGAGTTGGCATCATTGAGAGCTCTGTGGTTGCACAAACCTGACTTTGCCTGTTGGGGTCATGATGAAGGGTTGGGTCTCCCCTTGAGGGAGGCCCGTCTGAGGTCGCCCCCTCCTGAGTTGGATCCGAGGCTCTCTCCACACTCCCGCAGGATTACCCGAAGAGTTTGGTGGACATGACAAGAACTGTATTCTCTTGGATTCCAGTTCCTGCTTGGGTGAGCCGCCCCCTCCCCTCACGCCTCTGCTGGCTTCCTGGGTCTTCCCTTGGAAACAGGCAGCCGGGCTCATCTGGTTGCTGCTGGAGGCCAAGGGAGGTCGTGATGGGAGACAGCAGCGGCCACTTGGGCATCTGGACAAAATTGATCTTTCCAGGTGTGAGGTCTGCCGGGCTCTCTCTGTCCCCCTCTGCTTCCTTATCACGTGACTTTAGGACCCCCTTCTCAGCCCTTTTGTTTTCCTCCGTGGCTCCAATCAACCTGCCCAGTTCTTTCCTCCCCCGTCCCACCCTTTCCTCTTCCATTAGCCATCAGACCTAGGAGGTGAAGCAAATACTTCTCCAGAAGTAGCCCTGCTCTTTTATTTTTCCTGTGAAACTCTTTTCCTAAAAGCTTCCTCTAGCTGCAGAAGGTTCCCCTGGTAGGAGAAAGAGAAGACCATTCACTCACAGAGAGGACAGAACAAGTTTTTCTGTAATTCTCTCCTGGAGATGGAGTTCTTCCTGGCTCTCTAGTCCCCCTCCGCTCCCCGCTGTGAACCTAGAGCAAGGATGGCTCAGGCCACAGTATGGCCTTCTCTGATCCTTGTTGAGCCTAAACTGTCAGCATGTTCTCCTGGAAGCAGAGGCCTTGGCACTTTGGGGTATAAATGTTTTAGTTTAAGAAATGCCAATGGCAGAGGGCCTGCCCGATGGCGCAGCAGTTAAGTGCACACGTTCCGCTTCTCGGCGGCCCAGGGTTCGCCGGTTCGGATCCCGGGTGTGGACATGGTACCACTTGGCACACCATGCTGTGGTAGGCGTCCCACATATAAAGTAGAGGAAGATGGGCACGATGTTAGCTCAGGGCCAGGCTTCCTCAGCAAAAAAGAGGACTCAGGGCTAATCTTCCTCAAAAAAAAAAAAAAGAAAAAAGAAATGCCAATGGCAGAAGCCTAGATTCGAAGACCAAGGTAAGTTGTTTCTTCACAAATTGCCAGCACTGGTGTGTGCAGGTCCACACGGAATCAGGTGATGGGCAACAAAACATAAATTGTTGGCAAATGATAAATCTGGTGGTGGACTCAGGAGAAATGGAATGGACGCCGCGTAGTCTCTCTCCTTCGCTTGCAGGGCAGGTACCGAGACAGGATGTCCCTGGGCCCTTTCCTGGCTCCCAGCCATCTGATCTGGGAATGAAAAGGAAGCTGGCTTGCAGAAAAACAGCCATGTCCCTGAGGAGGCTGTGCCAGACCAGGCAGGCAGACAGGCCACACGGGGCAGTGGTGTCTAGAGACTGGCATTTGTGCAAGGTCCTATCACACACAGCCTCGTGGTGATTCCTAGGTGTGGCAGGTCATGTGCGGAGGCAAATCTCAGCCCCTGTGTCCATTCAGGGAGCCGTGGCAAGAGTCACCGAGAACAGCAGAATATCTAGAAGTCAGTTCTACAGACTTTGGGGTGCACGTTGTTGTTTCCTAATGTTGTCCTCAGGCCACTATTTCTGGAGGAGGGCAGTCCCTGAAAGTCCGCCCTCCTTATGCAGTTGGAGCCCAGGGAAGGCCACAGGGCCGATGCCCGGTACGTCTCTGCGCTCCGGCTGTGCGCCTCCTGTCTGCTGTACTTTCTCTTCATTTAAAATGTTAACCTTTGAAAGCACAGGTCCCCGCTCCTGAAGTTACCAGAGGAGCCCCCAGTTCCTGGAGTTCACAGACATTTGATCTGTGTTTGGAAACACCCCAATCCTTTCCTTTTGTAGATCTCCCAGAATTCTGAGCCCTTCCCGTCCTGTGCTTGTCCATGGAGCTGGCCCACAAGCCCTCCTTAACTCTTGAACCTGCCCCCCAGATCATGTCCATCCCGTGAGGCTCCAGATTGTGTGGCCTGACTCCAGCCTCTAAAGTAGTGCTCCAAGTTGGGTTTCTTTTTATTTCTGCGCTAGACTGTCACAGGCCAGCCCAGGGCTCGGCGTAGCCCTCGGCACATCGATGGCAGTGAGTCAGCACGAATGGGGTTTGCTTGTCCGGACACCAAGCTTAGGGTGTGATGAGCTGTGACCATCTTAGAGGCAGAGGGTGCCGTCCTGGCCCTGAGAGATGGAGAGGTGACCGTGCGGTTCTCAGGATAAGTTCCTGCACGTGTGTGCTTTTTAGAAGCAGGGCCCTTTTCTGTTCTCTGCCTGATCGCTGGCGGTCTGAGAAACTGTGTGAGGTTACATCAAGCTTGTGCGGCCTGGGGAAATAGGGCGTTTTCTAGCTCCGAGCGGGCAGGAGGCTGGGGGAAGGACAGCAGTAGCGCCCCATGGCGAGTACCGGCGGCTGCTGTTGTGATCATCCCCAGCAGCGGCCAGGCTGCTCAGGTGATTAGTAAGAGAGAGACTCTGAAGGCTGCGGCCTGAAGGGAGGGCACAGCCTCAGCGAGGCCCGCACCCCTTCCAGCTGACTGTGCAGGGTGGCACTCTCCTCTGTTCTCTCGTCTGTTAAGTCAGGATAAACCCCCAGCTCACGGCATCTGTGTCCAGATTCCAGACTGGGCACCTAGGAGTGTGCCCGACACACTGAAAGATTGCTACCTGGCAGATGCGCGTGCCCTCGACCCCCACCAGTGGGACCGAGGGGCATCGCTTCTTAGCTCTGTGATGTGTGGCCTCAACAGGGACTAAGAATTCACTGCTCGCTACCTTCCATGTGATTCTAATTTCAGCATTTCACAGCTTACTTTCGAAATAGCATCTTTCATCCCCAAGTGTCTGTGCACAGGCAGAAGTGAGACCAGCCCCCTCTGCGGGCAGAAGTGTGAGGTCCAGGTTCATGCTTTTCCTGGGTGAAGACCAGGCCCAGCAGGAGAGATGGGGTCGAGTAGGAAGGCTTGTACCTGCATCAGGTTCAAGTTCAAGGAGCATGGACAAAGCACTTACTGTGTGTCTGGAACTTTTGCACACCGTGGTCCCCTGGGGGTGCCGAGGTCCCCGTCGGCGGCTAAGGAATCAGAGGTGATGTGCGGCTCGGATCTCCTGTCTCAGCGCACGGGGCAGCGGAGCTGAGAATGAAAGCGGTGTCTTTCCCTCTGCCGCGCCTCTCCTAATCGGGCTGGTGACTGTCTCTGTTTCCCTCCGAGAGAAACCAAGACAATCAACAGACTGTTTCTGATCAGAGCAACTCCTTCGGGGCCTGCTGAGCTATCCTGCTTCACACTCTGCTGACCCGGGTGATTCTGCTCCTGCTGTGAATTTCACAAAAGGTCAGCTGGGCAGCTCTTGCAAATAATTCAAAATTATAACCGATGAGTGATTTCGGGAAGGGCGACCGCACAGAATCTGGAGCAGGTGAAACCTAGGCATGGCTTTCCCGCTGTCAGCCTCAGAGGCCTACCCCTGCCCCGGCTCACCCACGGCAGACCCGAGCCAGACTAGCTAGAGGCTGTCTGAATCAGAGCAGGCAGGGTTCTTGGGTGTTCAGCCTTGGAAACAAGCCTGGCTGATGTTCAGCTTGAGTATCACTTTCCTTAATTTACTGTAAACTGCCCCGTGGGCAGAGCTGGGCGCGGGGCCCACTGCACTCACACCCTTTGTTTTCCCTCCCCGGGTAGGTCCTTGCTGCAAAAGTTCTCAACCTTGTCCTGCCAAACATGTCCCTGGGCCCGATTGACGCCAGCATGCTCTCTCGGAATAAGACGGAGGTAAGAATCTTTCTGAAAACCTGGAGGTCTCTGGGGGCTGTGAGAGGGTAAAGGCAGCAGCCCTAGGGGACCGTCCAAGTTTTAGCTCTGTCCGTGGCATTGTGCCGCCCCTTCACCAAGGCCCTGTGCAAGTGACGGGGACAAGAAGATGTGTGAGACGTCATCTGGCTTCAGAACTGGGTGGGAAGGGATGGGTGGTTGTGATGCCTGAGCTGTGTCCTAAATGTGCAAAGGAGCTAACCAGATGAAGCTGTGTATATATCAGCTGAGTCTCTTGGTTCCGAGTGACAGAAACCCAACTCAAAGTGATTTAAGCAAAAAGAGGGATTTATTGATGAATGTAACTAAGGGTTTCAGGCATGGTTGGATACAGGGGCTCAGAAGTCTTCTTCACCATCTACTCTCGCCAGCCCTCATATCCCCTGGTTTAGCTTCATTCCCAGCCAAACTCTCCCCAAGTGGTGACAAAGCTGGCTGCCAGCTGCTTTCCCTGAGCAACCCCAGTGGAAAGACAGGACCGCTTTCCAGCAAAAGCCTCAGGGCTGAATCTTATTGGCTGATTTACAGGAAAACGGGCAGTGTCAACCCCACCCATCCTCATAGACTGAGAGTAGCAAAGAGCAATTCCCAGGAAGAGGGGTGGGAATTGGGATAGTGGTAGCAGAGAATAGAAGAATGGATTGGGGCCAGGACAAAAGTCATATGTCCATGGGTTGGCGGGGGCCGGTGCAGAGCCGGAGAGGGCTCAGAGGGAGAGGGTTCCTGGCCGGGGAACAGTGCTGCTAAAGACCTGGCATGCAGAGGACAGCCGATTTGCAGAACAGCCAATAGTTTGGTTTGACCACAACATAGAGGGCAGCAGGTGAGTGGAAAGGGGTAATCTGAGGTCATTTCATAAGGTACCCCATGAACCCCGACCCCAGGGCCACTGCCCTGCCAGGGAGACAGTGCAGCCCCACCGGGAGAGCTCTGCTGCCTTCTGTAAAAGCCAAACTGGCTGGAAGAAGCTCACAAGGAAGAGGCAAGGTGGCTTTGGGAGAGAGAAGCTGGGGGGTTGTGCCATCCAGTTGACATCACCGCCTTTGGGACCGGACACCAAGATCAGTGTGGACAAAAAGGTCAAGGTGAATTCATGTGCCTGGGACGCTGGGACTGAGCAGAGTCCAAAACCCCAGAGCCCGCTCAGTGAACCCACCCACTTCCCATTCATTGAAAGGCCAGCATTGTCCCTCCCTTTGATTGGGCCAGGCGCTGTATGCTCCTCCATTGGCAGCAGCCCCATACTGTGGACGAGCAAACTGAGGCTCTGCAGGGTGAGAGGACTTGCCTGGGGTCACCCACTGGTGGGGCTAACCTGAGAGCTCAGGCAGGCGTGGCCCCAGCCCTGCCCTATCTGTGGGGGTGACGAACCCCTGCAGGCTTGCGACCAGTGGATGAGAGGCAACCCTGGGTATTTGGAAGATGCTGGATTATCGTCAGGATCAAGCAAATCATTTTGCCACTCTTCTGCCTCAGTTTCCCCTCTTGCCTTAGGAATTTGAAATCACGGAATTGTTGGCTCCCAGAGGACCTGGAAAATGGAGAGGGGTGCTCTGGCATTCTAGTGGCTTTCCTGGATTTCTTGGGGACTTGAGCAGTGGTCTCTAGCTTCTTTATAAACTGTGACCTTCTGGCCTCTGAGTCACTTAGAGAGTGGGCAGCTAAACAGGAGTCATCCCTAACGTGTAGGAAGAAGACATCCTTGATCAGGGACCAAAACTCCTCGGCTCCCCAGAGCCAGCTATTTGTGACCAGGCTGGCGAGAGACTGGGGAATGGTGGGGCCTGAGGGAGCCCAAGGGTATCCGGTCCACCCAAATCATCACATTCAATTAAAATCTTTTAATTTAATTTTTAAAACCCATAGTGCCTCCCAAACCCACATCTTGGAGCCCAATTTGACCCCCTAAAGGCACACCTGTCCGGTGAAATCACAACTTGAGGACCCGGAAAGACCAAGCGTGCCGTCTGGTTTAATCCTGACGTGAGTGCGATCGACATCAACCCCGGTTCACAGATGAGGGAATGGAGGCTCAGAAGTTCAATAACTGGTCCAAGGCTGCACAACCGGTCACGGGCAGAGCTGGGATCTGAACCCACTGCATTCGAATATCCATGCTTGGGTGTCACGTGCCAGCTGGTACTTATCATCAGTAGGCTCTTTGTCCTGCTGCATGGTGACTGGCCCACGCAGCCCGTGGCGCGGCCGCTGCTCTGTGTGCGGGTTCACTGTGCGAGGGGACCTCACTGTGGGGCAGGGGCCGGTCCCCAGTAGTGGCTCTGGCTTAAATGTGCCGTCTGTAGTGAGACCAGCTATCTTCACGGCGGCTGTGCTAGGACAGCGATGGGCTGAGAGAGAAACTTCCCTTCCCTTCGAGATCCTTGAGACGAAAGACCCAGGGGTAAATCTGAGTTGTTTATCTTACCACCTGAAAATACGTGGGCAAAGAGGAAGAGAAAAAGAGAGAATGAAATGATTCCAAACCTTCCTTGTTTAAAAGTTGCAAAATTGAGAGCTTTATTCTCATTTTTGGAAAAATGGAGAATTCCATTGAAGGCTTCATAGAAAATGGCAGAGTCTGGCGTGGACATCCAGCGTGCAGCGCCCCCCCCCCCCCTTCTCTGCTGCGCCTCGCCCGCTCCCCATGGCTGCACCTGTCCTGTACCGGGTTTCTGGCTGGTCAGGTAAAGGGGGCGGTTCTTTAGAAACGCTGGTGAATTTCCCTGCTGAGAAGACTATGAGGAAGGGAGGCGGCTGGTCAGCCTGAAGGCTGGACCCCCGTGGCAATGAATAAGGAGCAAGAGTTCCCAGCCCTCAGCAGAGAGAGCTAGCCCCTCACCTGTCGCGTTTGCTCCCTTTTAACATTCTGCCGAGCTTTAAAAATAGCATTGCCCAGGGCGAACTGTGCTCAGGAAAGGCCCCGCCTGATGGCACTTCAGGGTGTCTGAAGGCCTGTCTCTAGCTAAGCTATTTCCCATAGACCTCCGCAGCTATAAAAGCCTCAGAAAGAAGCGTTTGCTAACTGGCTTCCTAAAGTGGGGAGGGCGGGGCGGGAGCGCAGGCTCCGTGTGAAGGGTGGGAAGTCTGTCTCTAGGGCAGCAGGCTGGCTTTGTCGTTCCAGTGACAAAAGCAGGATGTATGTTTGGGGGTTTGCTGTGGCAAGTGTTTGTACAACCCACCCAGGACCGTATGCACGACACCCTTCACAGCTGCCAGCTGTAGAGGCACGTTCTCCCGGCACGTGTGGAGCCCCCAGGCGTGGAGGTGCACTGTGGCCCCTATTGTGTCAACACCATCCGGTGCACCATTGTCTTGCCCTTATTCTGTCTCAGACACGCTTGCCCTTCCATCTTGCCACAGCTCCGGGAAGGCCGTCTTGCTACCTGTATTTGCAGTTATGGAAGCTTGGCCCCAGACTAGTTACCCACCCAAGGACACACAGCTCCTGAGTAAGGATTTGAGCCCAGCTCTATCTACTCCGAGCCAAGTGCTCTTAGCACCAAAATCCTGGGGATAAAGAAGATGCTACTTAGGTTTTTAATGTTTGTCCACACATTTAGAGCCCTGCTGAGAACACTGGAGCACTGACATTTCATCACTCCACCCTCAACAATGGGATTTTCGGAATGGAATGTGATGAAGCCCTCCCACTTAGAAAAGTCTTGAATATTCCAAATAGCTCTCCGGCCAAGGATGCAGGGGGAAGAGATGAGGAGGAGGTTGCTGAGGACCTCCCCCAGCGATAACCCCCATTACTCACAGACAGAACGTGCTCTCGGCCCCCTCCTTCGGCCCTGTGGTCTGGGCAGAAGCCGGGAGGGAGCCATGCCGCGTTCTGAGAGCTCCTTCTATTAGGGACATCCACTGTTTATATACTGAGGCAATCTGTCTTCTAGAACCAAGTGTCTGTTCTCTATAAATACGCTGGGATGCCTCCAAGCACATCCTGGCTAGTTTATAGTCACGCCAGCAGGCCATATGGTGGGTTCTGGGCACCCGGAGAGCTGTGAGGAGTGGCCAGCTCGCCTTCCTTTCATTTCTATGGGTGGGTACCGCTCCAGACCCCCTCCCAGTATTTCAGATGTGCCCAGCATCAAGAAGTAGGCCCCCCGCCCCCCTGTTGCCTGTATGTCTTTGACCCACACTGCCAGGAGGCCACATCTGCCCATTGCCCTCAGAAGGTTCCTGCCAGGTCTTGGAAAGCCCAGCCGTACTGAGGCTTTTGACTGAGTGGAACCACAGCTAAAGATAGGCCGCGGCCTCCCACTCTGTCCCCAGGACACAGCCTCCCACGGAAGGCCCCTCCGAGCACCGGTTATTAACTTTCCAGTTTAGGTAGCTGATTTTATTTTGAAACTCTCCTGCATTCTTATCTTATAGTCCCCACAAAAGACTCATCTTTTTGAGGCAGCTAATAATTTAGCAATGCCTTAAAGGAAAGGATGAGCCATTCGCATGTCTCTTGGCGTGTATAGCTCCAGATGGGGGCAGCTGGCGGGGGGACATGTCAGTGGACCCACCTGCTCTCGTGCCCTGCACACGTGGGGGTCTGTTGCTCCACCTGCCCCCCGGATGTTTCCTGCTCCCAGCCCTCCCCCAGCTCCTGACTCTGGGGGAAGCAGCCCTGAGCACTCGAGAGGCAGGTCCCTGGAGTCGGCGGCTGTAATGGCAGCAGAAAAGCCAGTGACTCTGTGGAGACTGTCGGGGGTAGGCTCAGCTGCCAGCCAGCCCTAAGACAAAATGAGGTGCCCCTTGCCCCCAGGCCAGCTCTTCCAGCGCCTTTGAGGGGTTGGCACAGAAAGAAGTTGCTCGCTCGGCCCGGCTCACACAGGAGCACGGCCCGGGCAGAGCTCTCTCGAGGACACCACCGGCCACCCGGCAGCAGCCCGGGAGCTGGGGCCTGAACCTCGAGGATTGGACTTGCCGAGGTTTGGGATAAGTGGCTGAGCCAGATACCAGCC